AGAGAGACTTTTTATTTGGTAAGAGGGAGGAAAAAAAAAGTAATTTACCCATCCTCTCTCCTGTTCTTCCACTCTTATAGAGTGGGCCTAACCATTGGGGTGATTAGACTCTGGGAATAGCAATGGAGTTTTTAAACATATAATAACAAAATTTTAGAAAAATATCTTAATACCCTGACCCTCAGGTCATTTTTTGGGACATAAATTATCACCATAACAATTTTGCTCAGAATCAAAGTTTACAAATCATTCTGTTAAAATATTCTTAGAAATAAAATGTTTTGTATAACTTAATTCCTTTTATAATATCTTTGAAGCAGTTGCTAAATCATTTTGTATATAATCATAATTATCATAAAAATAACTACTAGTTACTTTTGTTATTCCTAAAATATTCAAAAAATTACTATATCTCACCTTTTACTCTAAAAAATTTGTCATGTAGTATTACTTTTACAATAAGCATTTAACTCTTGTGACATCTGATTTTTTAACTAATTAATCATAAATTAATATATAAAATAATGTGAAATCTTTAAATCTTATTATATGCCTTTTAATCGGCCGAAGGATTTGTAATCAATTGAAAATATATAATGAACAAGTTTACAAATTTTAGTAAACTCAAAGATGGAAAAAAATAATAATCTATAACATGATATGAAAATTTTGACTAACCGGTATGTTGACGTACTAGAAAATGTCTCTATTAATATTTATAAACTCTTTATATTGTCATTATCTAGTTCATTTTGAAAGTAAATTATGAGTTTGTCCTTCTTTTAAGGGGCTTTTTTTGAAGAAGTTTTTGATAGAGTATGAAAACTACTCTATTAATAGGATACAATTTTTAATTGGCGGATTTTCATCAAACTTCAGTATTAAATTGCAACACTTTTTTTCTACCTGATATGATTTCTATATTTTTTTCATTTGAAATAAATAGATGTTTTTCATATCATGTTTATTGTAGGGGTGGCAATTCGTGTTAGTAGGTCATGTTCGTATTAACACGTTTATTAATCGTGTCTGAAAACATCAACTCAAACATGACATGTTTATTAAACGTATCAAAAATGTCAATCAAAATATGACCCATTTATTAATCATGTTAATTGTGTCAACTTGTATAACCTGTTTAAATTAATATATTAAATAAATAATTAATATAATAATGACTTATTTAACACGGTCGTGACAAGTTTAACATGTTTATTGGTCAATTTATTTTTTTAAGAAAAATAAATGAATTTTACCTACAAATATTAAAATTCACATTATTTGTATTTAATATGTCCTATAAACTTTCATATTATATCACATATCATTAGATTGTAGATGACACATATAGTTACTCGTGTCAACTTGTGTCACTTCGTGTTACGAGATCAACCCTAACCCAACTCATTTATTAATCGTGTCAACCCGATTATAACCTAAACCCATTTATAGTAAACCCAAACCCGCTATCTTTGTGTGGGTTTCGAGTCGTATTGTCGTGTCACTATCCGGATTGCCAACCCTAGTTTATTGTGCCCGACTAAATTTGTGGCCATTGAAATATGTCTTTTCAATTTTTTGCCCCTTTCTTGGCTAAAATCTATAGGCCGCTTCATTCTTATTAGTATACTGGTTTAGGATCGTGCTTATGGTACTTTGTGTTTTTAAGGATAAATAACTGAACAAAATCATGAATAAATAAATGGGACTGTTTATGGTAGGTTGTCCTATCCGTAGAATCAGTTTTCTGACTGTTGGATCTGATCAAAATCAAATGAGATTAAAAAAATATGCAGAACAGACAATTTCTGATATGTATTTGACAGTTGAAAACGGCTAAAAAAATGAAATTACTGATAATTCTATATTTTTGATCCTAAGAAAGAAACTCCCTAAATAAATATATACATAGAGAATTAAAAAACACAAATACAAATTACAATAATTTGTTTGTGGTTATATTATATTTTATTATTTGTTCAATATAATATGTTACTCTTTCTTCTTATGAAGTTAATAAGTAGATAATTTTTTTTTGAAAAATCCCAATCGAGGGGGAAAAGAAGAAGTCTCATCGTCCATTTATAGAGCAAAAGGAATGAAGTAATAATGTCATTCCTCTTCAATTCTCGCTTTTTTTATGTACATGGAAGTATGAGATAATAAATAAGCCAAATGGAAAAATCATGATAATTGATTTAAAATTAAAAAAAATTGATTAATGTAGGAGTACGAAATTCATGCAAGCTCATTCTCCTTTTCATATAGAGATTATAAAGTATAGATTATAGAAGTAGAATCACACTTAATTTATTAGATTTTGCTTACATAAATAGTACTTAAGACTAATGTCTCATCATTAATTTCGCAATCTTAATTAATTTAGAACTGAGCCAGCTCTATTATTCAAGTGGCCGAAAAGGACTTGAGGTTTGGAACAAGAAAGGAGCATACCACGTGCCCATGTTACTCCGTGTGGGGATTGGCATGCAAAATCCAAAACAGCCAATACACACACGAATTCTCATGCTTTAAATAAATCCAAAACCTCATCTGTAAAGCTTGCTTCTTTGTTTTCCTTCCCAAAACATAATTGCCTCCAAAATCTACAGAATCTCAGTGCATAACGTGAGTGGTTTCTCTTCCAACTGTTTCAAAAGTTGAGTGAAAGATAAATATATTGGCTCAAAAAGGAAAAAGATAGTTTAGCTAGAATCACGTGGAGCAATGACAAAAAGAAGAAAAAAAAGATCATATTGTAAAATTAGAAAATTACATAATTTAACAGAACCCGACGGTTTAAAGTTATACATGAAAAACATTTTTTTCCCTTTTTTTTTTTTTTTTTTTTAAAGATAGTTTAGTTAGAATCACATGGAGCAATGACAAAAAGAAGAAAAAAAGATCATATTGTAAAATTAGAAAATTACGATAATTTAACAGAACCCGACGGTTTAAAGTTATACTTGATCAAAAATATTTTTTCCCTTTTTTTTTTTAAATGGAAAAAGGGATTTGAATCTTCTGTTCAAAATTTGAAGAGTCTGAAAACCGCCATGAGTTTAACGGAAGAAGTTGGTTTATAGAGGATCTTGGATTTTATGTGGATGTGGTATTGATGGAAAATTATCTACTAGATGAGCAAGTGTCACTATGATGCGGAATCTATTCTATTGTAGCCTTGATTTGGTACGATAATTTATTACCATTGCCTCAAAGGCTCAAACTTCAAAAGTGGGTCTAAAGTAATTCTTTAATGAGATAAAAATTGATTCAATCAACCACATTTTTTTACACCCGGTCAAATCTCTTATGCCTCTTGTTAAGCCGTATTTTTCTTACACCTATAAAACCCAAAAAACTTAAATAAGAAGGTGCTTATTTTCCACGCATTTGTATAATGCCTTTTTTTTTTTTAAATAACAATAAAGCTATTAGGTGTAGCTTTGTAGAGTTACTCAAAAATGCATCATTTAATTCTTAATCACAATTTTTCTTTTGTTTGTTCATAGACAAAGAATGGCGTATGTTATAATATATTACCCTATCTATAAATTACATTGTAGACAACATTATTGTCGATAAAAAGATGGTTCACAAACAATTATTTTGATACAAATCTATACGAAGATTTGTTTCCCATGCCCCAATGACATACACTTTTTTATTTTTTTATTTTTTTTTTATTTTTTATGGTTTCACCCTTATACCAATTCTGCGAAAAGAAAATCGTATCATTAAAGATCACCAAACCAATTTCCAAAAGTAGTTTCTGCCCATTGAATCGTAGGGACAACATTAGATCAATGTCGTGTTATTGATAAGGCAACATGCAATCTTTATTTTCAATTTTTTTTAATATATATTTTTGTTTATGTCCTTGCATTCAATTCATTCACCACAAAAGTACGTTCGAAACGTCGATAGCTCTCTCATTTAGGGTAAGGGTCCCATGTTGAATGACTTGTTAATTAGTCCATGTCTCAATGCAATACATGAAGAAAAAGTTAAATAGATAAAAACATAAAATGTCAAAATATAAGCAAATTTCGTGATAATTAAGGTATGGAAAACAGGACTTGATTTTAAACCATCAGATTTTATATAATAGTATAAGTTAAAACAATATGATAATTTAATAGAATATGATTAAAAAAATTAAGGGTTTAAATTGTGTCTATTTTTAGTATTTTGCATACCTCTAGAATCATAAAGAATTAAATATTAAAGAAAAATAATAAGAAAGAGAACACAAGTATTTACGGACATCACCAATACAATGTTAAATTAGTGTGTCAATACAAAATTTTAATTTTTTAGTTGAAAAATTACTCTTCATTACAATGTTATTTTTTGTGCTACATTACCATATGCTGCATAGTATATGATAAATTTAACATATTTATTTTTCATCAATATGTTTTTATTTTCATTTTGTAACTTCTACATGCTAATAATTATGGTAAAAAGTAAATTTAAATTTAAATATAACACAATTCATTGAAGCATAAATAAAATAACATATAAATACTTTATTTTTATAAATTTTTAATTTTAAATACATAATTAACATTAATATTTATATTGGAGATGGTTATAAGAAATAGGAAAATAGATAGAATTCGCTGGCAAGTGAATATTTCTCTAATTTAAAAATTGTTGAACGGACAAGGTTGATCTTTTTTGACACCAGAAGTGAGTAGCTTCCAAACCATACACTCACTCTTATGGGGTCTGGTTTTGTCAAGTAGCTATTTTTTTTTTCTTCTTCTTTCTTGTTTTTTTTTTTTTTTTTTTTTTTTTTTTTTTTTTTTTTTTTTTTTTTTTGCCCTTTGCTGCACTTCACTCATTTTCCCAGTTCTTCTCAGACAGGCAAAAACAATCAATGAATTATATTATCATGGACGAAACAGCACAAACGAAGAATACAAACAAAAAAGTAGAGCAAAATGTCTTCATCATCCTCATCACCATCATCATTCTCATTCATACCCTCCTCTTCTTCTTCTCAACCTTGTAATCATCATTCTCTCTCTCTCTCTCTCCCATCTCAAGCAACCCCTTTTTCCCTCTCAATATTAACCCCTTCTCTCTCTAGCTATCTTTCTCTCACATTGAAACACTCTGTTTTTTCTTCTTTTTTTGGGTGGAAAAGTGGAATAATGACTCGGCTTTTCCGATCCAAATCTTGCGGTCTCGTCGGACTTTCCGATCAGTTCAACACGGCCCCTCCGACACCAAATTTCATTAACGACGATGAAGACGACGACGACGACGAAGAAGAAGAAGAAGAAGAATTACAAGAAGAGCAAGAATTCGAGAACGGCGAGGAGGAAGACGAGGAAGAAGACGAGGCTCTGTGCATTAATCCAATATCGACGCCGTTTATATCTTCGACAGCAAAAAACAAGAACAACAAACAAGGTCGGCATTGCTGCCATGCAAATAGTAATAGTAATCATCAGTCTGCGATAATGGATATCGTTGTGGCGGCGCTGAGGAAGTCGATCGTGACATGCAGTGTGGAGAGAGAGGAGGTTTCTTCGTCGTCGTTGGACATCAGTTGGCCGACGGAGGTCCGGCATGTCTCGCACGTGACCTTCGACAGGTTCAATGGCTTCTTGGGTTTGCCCACTGAGCTCGAGCCTGAGCTTCCCAGAAGAATTCCTAGCGCCAGGTATGATTAGCCTTAATGGATTCTTCAATAGGGAATTCTTCTTTGCTTTTTTTTTTTTTTTTTTTTTTTTGGTCATCAATTCAGTAATTGTGGGCCTTTTCTTGTTCAATTTTGGGGAATTGGATTTTCCAAGAATTGCTTCTTCTTCTTCTTTTTTTTTTTTTTTTCCCTGTTTTAAACAACACGGATCGAATCCGCGACCTCTCCCGAAATTCCATCCCATCCGAACCCTCTTGATTCATAGTATTGGTCAGATTCTATTTTTCCCCCCTTCTTCTAAAAGATATGAGTTGCCCTCTGAAATTGTATGGGAGGTTTTTTTTTTTTTTTTTTTTCATTTTTTTTGAAGGGGTTGGTCTCTAATTAAGAGTATTTTTGGCGAGAAAACCAGATGACCAGTTATAATTTTAATAAAGATTACAAACCCACGGGAGAAAAATGAATGAAAATGATGGAGATTTGACGATGAAAAAGATTCTCTCAAGGAATGAATTTTGGGATTGTACCACTTCTGAGTATTTACTGATACTGTTTTTTTTTTTTCTTTTTTTTCTGAACAGTACTGATACTGTTTCTGGGTTATACTGTACCCATTGACAAAATTTCTTATTTATTTATTTATTTTCCCTGTTGTTGTTTAAAAGGTAATCATACAAAGAGTTTGGTGGAAGTGATTTCTTGTTTAATTGCTTGAATTTGACTTCACTCTACTTATTCCTGATTCCAGCCAAAAGCATTAATTCTGTCTTTTGACTAGTAAGCTTATAGTTGCTTTTTTCTTCTTTTGCTAAATTAAAAATAAGTACACATCTTAAAACACACTAGCTTGATATATATATATATATATTTATTTATTTTTCTTTCTTATAACGTGTATCAGTGTAAGCGTTTTTGGGGTTTCCGCACAGTCAATGCAGTGTACTTATGATGATAGAGGAAACAGTGTTCCAACAATACTTCTCATGATGCAAAAGCGTTTGTATTCAGGAGGAGGCCTTCAAGTAAGTTTCCACTATATATCTGCATTAGTTGCTACATGGAATTAAGTGATTAAGTGCTTCAAGTAAGTAATTAAGTGCTGCAAGTAAGTAATTAAGTGCGTCTCATTGCTGATTAAACAAAAAAATAAAAAAAAATGAAGGCAGAAGGGATATTTCGGTTAAATGCGGAGAATAGCCAAGAAGAGCTCGTCCGAGACCAATTGAACAGGGGTGTAGTGCCACATGGAATCGATGTTCACTGCTTAGCCGGTTTGATAAAGGTATCGAACTCTCAATGTTTTTATAATTTCTGTACCTACCAGAAATGTAACTTTAGGCCTCGCTCATTTTGTCGATTTGAGTTTAAAATTTAAATTTTACTACAGTAAAAAATTCTAAAAAACAATCATATTTAACTTTTTTATTACAATAAAAAATTCTCACATAAAGTCATATCTCAACTTGAATCAGCAAACTAAACGAGTCCTTAATATATACGTCTCTTCAAACATTTGTATGCCAAAATGTCAAACATTTCTATAAATGATTTGAAGGTTACTTTGTAGTGTGCCGATGTCAGTTATGATCGATTCCTGTAAACTAGATAACAAAGCGGAAAATAGAGAAGATTGCAGTATTTTGAAAATTTGGCTACAATTTTAACATTGAGCAAGAAACAAACTGCAAAATTTGGCAGTTCAGATATCTGTGAATTGGCCAATAGAATTCGCCATCAATGATTTGAAGGTTGTTTGATAGCCGAACCTTTTCTGCTAAATCTTTCTGTTCCTCTTTTATTCACTCTTACTAATAAGTGCGCCTCCAACCTTGCCTTTTAGGCATGGTTTAGGGAACTTCCTACCGGAGTACTTGATTCTCTCACGCCGGAACAGGTTATGCACTGCAACGCGGAAGAGGACTGCACCAAGCTCGTGAAGCTACTTCCTCCCACGGAAGCTTCTCTACTTGATTGGGCCATTAATTTGATGGCGGACGTGGTGCATCATGAACAATACAACAAGATGAACGTGCGCAACATCGCCATGGTTTTTGCGCCTAACATGACTCAGGTCTCTTGTTTTTTCTACGCCCAATTCTGTTCCTCCCTTTTTTTTTTCCGCCTACATGCAAGATTTCCATAGATGATTGCTAATAGCTTCCAATGCTTTCAAAACTTCACTCTTGGAGTTTCAAAAGAAGCCAAGCTTGTTATAGGACTATCTGTGTTGATGTATTTTACTTCCTATAACTTTGTCTGATTTTATCAATGTGACTGTCTAGTGTGTAGTCTATCACTACTTGTATCGATCTTCTTGACAGTAAGGAAATTGCTTCACTGTTTAGATGTTGTGGCTAAAATAGTTGGTTTTGGTTGAAGAATGATTGATCAATTCTGCTAAAACTATCAAGTCTGTTTTCTTACATTGGCTTGGATCGATTCTTATCGGTAGTTTTTAAGATGAAGGATGAATCTTATTGGTTTGCAAAAACATTGCATTCTATGGAAATGGACTAAACATGTTGTTTTCAGATGGCAGATCCACTGACCGCACTGATTCATGCTGTGCAAGTTATGAACTTCCTCAAGACACTGATCTTGAAGACAATACGGGAGAGAGAGGAATCGCCTAGCAAGCCTCGGTTATTCTCTTCATTCTCGAAACTTCCCACTAAAATGAAGTACGTCTCTTCTTCAGATTCAAAGAAAGATCAATCGACAGACCAAAATTCAGACACTTGTGCAGTTAAGCAGCCTGACACTGGTAACAAACTGGGAACGACCACCTTGGACAGTCTAGAACCGGGTATTGATGAGAAACTCTGGTGTTCTCAGATAAAGAGCGACAATGATGAAGATGAAGACGAAGATGATACTAAATCGAGATCGGATAGCAGCATAACAACATCTGCTCATGGTTTTGGAATGAGAGAGAGTGAATGCAAAGGCAGTGGATATGAAAGTGGAGATTGGCTAAGTTTGAGGAAAGGAGTGAGGAAGCTTTGCAGGCACCCTGTCTTTCAGTTGAATAAGCCTGCAAAGAAGACTGCAACCCTTGGCATTGTAAATAGTAATACTAGGGAACGGGGCGGAGCAGCTTGGGCATAGCAGCAACGCCGCCGACAACACTAGCTACCCGTTGCTCATGCGACGTTGAGTCTGTATTCTATTGGGATTTGCGATGATAGTACTAGATTTGGGTGTTTGATTTGTAAGTGTAGCCCAGTTAATGTTGTTCAAACATGTTTGGAAAAAGTACTAACTAAGAATAGAGACCTCTAGTGGAAATGATGTATACATAGAGAGTGTGTGTCAAGACTCTTTTCAAGGGACAACTTTGTATGATTGTATTGATAATTTTGTGCCTTTCTTAATAACAATGTTGAGAGTTTTGATTCAAGAGAAGAGAGCATGGAGTCCAATTTGATTTTTAAAGGACCCTAAAAATTTATTATAGTATAATTTCCTTTTGTTTTACTAGTTATGGACTATTTAATTGTTTCGATCACCATAGATTGTGGTAAGAAAAGTTCGATGGATGACTTGGAATTAGGGGTGTAAGAATTCAAGCCGAACCCGACGGACCCGTCCGAGCTGACCCTATCTACTCGAAAATAGTGGGATTTTTTTTTACAGTAGCAATAATGCCCAACCCGCAAAGTGCGGGTAGGGTCACGGGGCAGATCAAAAAACCCGATATTGCCCCTACTCGGCCGAATTTATCAGCACAAGGAAAGAAATCAGCCCAATTTCAACGTTTTCTTTAGCTCAATTCTAACGTTTTCTTTGACCAAGCCCAATTCTAACGTGAAGGCCCCAAATCCTAACATTTTCTCTGCCCAATAATAATGGGCTTAATTGCAAGAACCCCACCGTGAAGGCTCAATCCGACCAACCCAGTCACCCTGAGTCTACCCGAGGTAATCTAAAGGGTTACAGGTTTGTTGGTTTAAAGAAGTGTTGCGGCCCAAATCTTTTTTAGCCCACACATTACAGCTCGGCCCAATTTCAGGCCCAAGGCCGATCCTACCCAGCTGACTTACTACTTGGAATTTTGACATCGAATACTTGGAATTATCCACTCATTGCATAATCCCATAGTATAAGCAAAATTCTGCTTGTGTCCTTTCAATATTAAAATTTATAACTATGTCCATGTCTAGTAAATATTTGTTGATACCCTTTTTTGTACCAGACTTTTTCCTAAGGCCCAAATTCAATATTCCATCCATGCTTTATTTATGGACCCAAATCACGTTCGAGGAATCTTATAGGCCGCGGTTTTCGACCTAAGGGAAGAGAGGAGGAGATAAAAAAATCTCTCGGTGATGGACGTGCTGAGAAGATCTCATTTGTGCGGAGGAGACATTGCACGCGTGGGGAGATCAACATCCACCAACTTTTTTTTCCCCTTCATTTGGGTGGATTTTTTTTTTTTTTTTTTTTGGTGTTTTTTGTTTTTCACCCTAAGAGATAGAAGGAGATCACCAAATCTCTCGGTGATGGACGTGTAGAGAAGCTCTCATCCACAATGGTTGTGCAGAAGAGATCTCCCCTCATTGGGAGATCGACATATTCTTTTGGATCTTTTTAGTGCTTTTGTGTGTGTTTTTTTTTTTTTTTTTTTTTTTTTTTTTTTTTTTTGTTTTTTTTTTTTTTTTTTTTTTTTTTTTTTTTTTTTGTGGTGATTCTTGTGATATTTTTAAGCATTCAGTGAGAAAACCGGCAATAACACGATCGAGAATTGTCGTTACTGGCAGTTTCCAACCAATGACTAAAATATCATACTGAGTTATCAACGATCTCCATATGGGGACTATAAAGTATCAAGATAGGATACTGGTAGTCATTGGTTGTAGGAATTTTAAGTATTCCGACACAATGTGATACCTCCAGTATCATGATAGGATAATAGAAGTCGCCGCATTTTAGAATTTTCAGTATCACGATGGGATACCTCTAAGTATCATGATATAATATTAACGATCACAGTGGCTATATATTTGGTATTCTAAATACGATAACACGACATTCTTTACATATGCTTTTTTCTCTTGACATAAATCAAAGGAATTTTTCTTAAGTCTCCAATGCGATAAATTATAGAAGTGAATAAAGGAATACCACGTTTAAAGAATTGATATTCAAAATATACCTTTTTTTGGGTAAGATAATTAAATGAATAACTAGACATCTGGCACCCAACTTGTGTTACAAAATGTATTTTAGTTCTTGGGACCTTATTTAAGGTTTTGAGCCAAAACCCAGGCCAAAGTCTACATCATTACCACCTGTTTCTTTCTCTTAGTTTAATTAAGTCAACAACCATTTTGATAATTAATTAAGTCGACAACATTGGTTTCCTTTTCCTTCCCGTTTTGTAAGAAAACACGATACTATAAAGGCTATTCCAGAACCAAAACGATTGATTTCAAAAGGCGCATACCGAGAAACATGTGAAAACATTTCCAAATCAAAACCAAACCAACTTTTTATTCTTTTAAAACGACCTCCATATTTCTTTAAAGTATTGTTTTAATAGATTAGCAAAAAGTATTGTCTTAATAATGAAGTGGTTAATAGTAAAGAATATGTGTCAGCTTCTATAGAATCAAAACTTAAAATGAATGATGTTGTGGGGGAAAAAAGAAAAAGAAAAATCAGCTTAAAATGGATGAAACATATCATAATGTAACTGCACTATGTTTTCCCTATTTAGCATTGTTTCTTCGTTGTTGTTTTTCAGATTAACGTCGTTTCTAATTTTTTTTTTCTCATAATAATGTTTCTTGTCGTTATGATTCTTAGTTATGTAGTTTTCCTAATTTTATGTCGTCTTACTTCTTTTGGCTGTTTTAGATGTCGTTTTCATTTTCGTCAATTTTGTTTTGACTTTCTGCTATTTATGGATGTCGTTTCCACACACACACACACACGCCCTTATTTATGATGTCGTTTTCATGAGTTATGTCTTCTTTCGACATGGTGTCGTTTCTATGCTGTTGTCATGTCTCATATTCATGCCGTTTTCTAGTTAGTGTAGTTTATCATAGATGTTTTCCTTTTTCACATTAATGTCGTTTTCAAGTTGTTATCGCTTCCTCATTTATTTTTTTCCTTATTTATGCTATTTTTATGTTATTTTTGTAGTTTCAGAACTCGTATTTAAATCTTGTCGTTTTGCAGCTGCGATAGATCTTTATGTGGATTTTTTTTTTTTATGATGAAGTTTCCAATTTTCATGTTACTTTGTGTCGTTTCTTCGTTGTTATAGTCTTCATATTACTGCTCTTTTTTTGTTCGTGATGACTCTGATCCTTATTAGTTGTAGGTTCTTTTTATTTTTATTTTTATTTTTGTTTTGCTATATTCATGTTGTTTTCTTTTTTGTTTCTTAGATTTGTAGTTGCTATCATTTTGTCGCTTAGATGTTTTCTTACAGTTTTCTTGCCGTTTCTGGTGTAGACATCTTTTTTCTATCCCGATTTCCCCTTTTTCAATGATTTCCTATTTTCATGTTGTGTGATTAGAAAAATACATATACTTATTTGACTTAAAAAATACATGAGATCACAACGTCAGCAATTATGAAAACACAAAATAAAATTTTGAAGATTTCTAATTTACGTTTTCTTTAAAATGAAGTTAATATTGATTTGACAGATATATTTGAAACTCGATTTAGGTGGCGATGCCTCGATGGTCACACCCCCACCTTAAGATTGGCATTTTGTGTCAAATTGTCAAATATACCGGACATTTAAATTTTAAAAATAATAATTGTGCACCGAGTAATAAACATGCAACATAATTCATCCATTTCTGTTATTTTAGTATGACGTCCCTATCTTCTTTTAGAAACCACCAAGTTTTGTTTGCGCGCAATTCAATAGAAAAAAGTTAAAACTACTCCCACAAGTAAAATCTAATTGCATTCTAATTAAAATATTACGCCTATAATTAATGCCCCAACAATGAAACAGACTTGATTCTTTGACGCTTATTAGTGGAAGAATATAATTCAATATTCATGACAATATATGCAAGTTCTTTTTTTTATTTTTTTTTATGGAATAGTCGTAGTAATTCTATAATACAAATCCTTATAATATTTAATTGTACGAGGTGGGTGATCTCTTTGACCAAAGCAAGAAAAAGATGCCGCCTCCATGCAAGCAGTAGTTTCCTTAATACTATATAATTTCTTTCCCCACTTGAAACAATATTTGATTACTATTGAAGTATTGGGCCATTGAACAAAACTTTTCCGTGTTACTTTTAGTTTGAGTTTTTAATATTTAAAGTTCTAGCACTGCTATCCTTAATTCTTATAAAGAAGAAAAAAGGGAATATAACTTTTTCTCTTCTTCTTAATTTTTTTTCTTTTTTTCTTTTAAAAAAAAATCATACTCTCTCACTTTCAGCATATGGCATACCATTTTTATTTAATATAATTGTGTCACCCTGGCGGTAATGTATCATATGACACCTATTATATACACACACATGTGCGTTTGTGTGTAGGTTACATGCATGGCAGTACCATGTGGCTACCACATCATATATTAGCTTTTAAATACAAGGGGCCAAAAAAAAAAAAAAAGGCACGGCCAATTAATATTGGCCATCCTTCGATTGGCAGGTTTGTAATATAGCGCATATGCGAAATATAGTTTTTGATGATTTGGATCTCTTATCCAACACGAAAGTTTCAATTTTCAAGCAGAAAACAATAGAAATTAAAGATAGAAATTTCATTGAAAGATTTTTTTCTAAAGATGACCTGAAAGGAATATGCATAGTACGTACAAGACAAATTACTCAATCTGTCAATCATATAGACATTGATTAATTGATGAGCAAGAGGGAAATAAATGGCGTCCTTTTTGGGTCCAAATCAACCTATGTATGATTCTGAAGTAGTGGACATATTTATATCTAGCTAGGTAGCCCCATGCATTTATGTATATATTTATGTACGTGTGTGTGTGTATATATATACACACACACACACACACACATATACATACTGAAGTGATGTGATCTGGTATATGGCAAAATGCATGCCATGCAAAATGTGGTGAACTAATAATAATAATACGTCTCATTACATTGAAAATGATGGGTGCTGAAGCGCACAAGTAAATGGTGCATTTGATGAGAAATATTTGGCCTGATAAGTACATTATACAATTAGCAAAAGGTGATTGCAAATTATTTGTCCATGGAGCTTGTTTCCAGGAAATTTCCTGGCGACAGAGATAGAGAAAAAAAAATAGTAATAATAACAGAAGGTACGTAGGTACATGTGTATCTATCTGTTAG